GGTCCCGGTCCCGGTGCCCCCAGCCCGACCCGACCCCCGGTCCCGGTCCCGGTGCCCCCAGCCCGACCCCCCGGTCCCGGTGTCCCGGTGCCGGTGCCCCTCAACCCGACCCGACCCCCCCGTTCCGGTCCTAGTCCCGGTCCCGGTGCCCCCCAATCCAACCCCCCGGTCCCGGTGTCCCGGTGCCGGTGCCGTGCGTTACCCCAGCTCAGGAAGTCCCGGACGTGTCTCTCTCTGTCTCTCTCCCTGTCGCCGTCGCTGTCGCCGCCGCTGTCGCCGCTGTCGCCGCTGCCTGCGGCGGCGGGCCCGGTGCCGGCGGGGGGCTCCCGGTGGCCGAGGCGGTGCCGCAGCCCCCCCGCCAGCCCCAGCAGCAGGTCCAGGAGGGTCTCGAGCCCCAGCGCCCCGGAGACCCCTAGTCCGGGACCGGGACACCGGGACTGGGACACCGAGACTGGGACCCCCAGAGCGGCACCGGGACACCGGGACCCCGAGATTGGGATCGGGACCGGGACACCGAGACCGGGACAGAGACCGGGGCTGGGACCGGGACCCCCAGACCAGGACCGGGACCCCCTGCCCGGGACCAGGACACCGAGACCAGGACACCGAGACCGGGACTGGGACACCCCCACCAGAACTGGGACCCCGAGACTGGGACACCGGGACTGGGACACCGGGACTGGGACACCCCCACCGGGACCGGGATCCCCAAACCAAGACCGGGACATTCCCACCGGGACCGGGACACCGGGACCCCCATACTGAGATCGGGACCCCCAAACCGGGACCGGGACACCCCCACCTGGTCCGGGACACCGGGATCCCCACAATGGAACCGGGACCGGGACCCCCACCAGAACCAGAACACCCAGACCGAAACCGGGACCCCCAGACTGGAACCGGGACGTCCAGACCAGAACTGGGACCGGGACCCCCCACCAGAACCAGAACACCCAGACCGGGACTGGGACCCCCAGCCTGAGACCAGGACCCCCAGACCAGAACTGAGACCCCCAGACCGGCTCCGGGACCCCCAGACCGGGTCCGGGACCCCCAGACCAGGTCCTGAAGGTTTTTTTTGGGTCACCCCGAAGGGATTTTGGGGGTCCCTGAAGGGTTTGGGGTCACTCCAGGGGAATTTTGGGGGTTTCTGAAGGTTTTGGGGTTCCCTGAAAGATTTGGGATCTCTGCAGTGACACAAACCCATTTTGGGTTTTTTTGGCCATTTTGGGGTCTCCCTCCTTCACCCCACCCTGGGAAACCCCCCAAAATCCTGGGGACACCCCAAAAAGGAACGGGGGGACCCCAAAACCCCCCCGGGACCCCAGACCCACCTCCTGCAGGCTGACGCGGATCTGCCCCGACCCGTCCCGGTCCAGGGACTTGAAGGCACCTGGGGGGACCCCAAAATCAGGGGGGGGACCCCAAAATTTGGGGGAAAAACCCCAATAAAACCCCGGGATTTTGGGGTCTCCTCCAATTTTGGGGCTCCCACATCGATTTTGGGGTCCCTCTCCCAATTTTTTGGGGGTTTCCCATCCAATTTTAGGATTTTCCTCCCACCAATTTTGGGATTTTCCCCTCAAAATTTTGGGATTTCTCCCCTGGTTTTGGGATTTCCCCTCCCAGTTTTAAGATTTCTCCCCGGATTTCAGGATTTCCCCAAAAATTTTGGGAATTCTGCCCTGATTTGGGGAATTCTCCCCTGATTTTAGGATTTCCCCTCCAATTTTAGGATTTCCCCTCCCAGACTTCGGGATTTCCCCTCCCAGATTTTCGAATTTCCCCCAAATTTTGGGATTTCCCTCCTAAATTTCATATTTCCCCCCAGATTTTGGGATTCCCCCTGCCCCAGTTTTGAGATTCACCTCCCAATTTTGGGATTCCGCCCCCCAGTTTTTAGATTTCTCCCCTGATTTTAGGATTTCCCCCCCTGATTTTGGGATTTCCCCCCCAATTTTGCTATTTCCCCCCAATATTTTGTTATTTCCCCCCCCCATATTTTGTTATTTCCCTCCATATTTTGGGATTTCCCCCCCAGATTTTGGGATTTCCCCCCCATATTTTGCTATTTCCCCCCAATTTTGGGATTTCTCCCCTGATTTCAGGTTTCCCCCCCCCAATTAATCCTCAGGGAGCCCCGAAGTCTGGGGACCCCCAAAACCCGCACCCCAAATCCTCAGGGAACCCCAAAGTCTGGGGACCCCCAAAATCCACACCCCAAATCCTCAGGGAGCCCCAAAGTCTGGGGACCCCCAAAATCCGCACCCCAAATCCTCAGGGAACCCCAAAGTCTGGGGACTCCCAAATCCTCACCCCAAATCCTCAGGGAACCCCCAGATCCTCACCCCAAATATGGGGGGACCCCAGATCCGCACCCCGAATACGGGGGGACCCCTAAATCCTCATCCCAAATACGGGGAGAACCCAAATCCTGGGGGAACCCCAAATCCTGACCCACCCCAAATCCTCACCCCAAATTCTGGGGGACCCCAAATACTGGGGGACTCCCAGATCCTCACCCCAAATATGGGGGGACCCCAGATCCGCACCCCGAATACGGGGGGACCCCTAAATCCTCATCCCAAATACGGGGAGAACCCAAATCCTGGGGGAACCCCAAATCCTGACCCACCCCAAATCCTCACCCCAAATTCTGGGGGACCCCAAATACTGGGGGACTCCCAGATCCTCACCCCAAATACTGGGGACCCCCAAATCTGCACCCCAAACACTGGGGAACCCCAAGTCCTGATCCCAAATATGGAGGCACCCCAAAATCCACACCCCAAATACTGGGGACCACCAAATCCTCAGGGAACCCCCAAATCCTCACCCCAAATACGGGGGAACCCCAAATCCTGACCCACCCCAAATCATGATCCCAAATACGGGGGGACCCCCAAATCCACACCCCAAATGCGGGGGGACCCCCAAATCCTCACCCCAAATACTGGGGAACCCCAAAGTCTGGGGACACCCAAATCCTGGGGAACCCCCAAAATCCTGACCCAGCCCAAATCCTGATCCCAAATCCTGGGGAACCCCCAAAATCCTGACCCCAAATCCTCAGGGCACCCCCAGATCCTCACCCCAAATCCTGGGGACCCCCAAATACACTGGGGACCCCCAAATCCTGACCTCAAATACTGGGGAACCCCCAAATCCTGCCTCCAACCAAGAGGTTCCAAGGGATCGGGTGGATCCCAGTGGATCCCAGTAAATCCCAGTGGGCCCCGGTGGGTTCCAGTGGATCCCGAGGGTCCCAAATGGATCCCGGTGGCCCCAGTGGACCCCAGTACACCCAGTGGGTCCCAGTAGATCCCAGTGGGTCCCAGTACACCCAGTATATCCCAGTAGACCCCAGTATACCCAGCACATCCCGGTGGATCCCAGTACACCCAGTGGATCCCAGTAGACCCCAGTGGCCCCAGTACACCCAGTAGATC